CCCCCCTGGGCTCCTTAGGGCCCCAACAGGAAGCCGTTGCTGGAGCTAAGCAGCCACCAGGAGAAAGAGTTGGCAAAACAGCTCAGTTCAAATTGGATCTGACCAAGAAGGAGGCTCAGCAGAACCACCACACTGAGGACTATGAGCATAGGCTTTGAAAGCAGAAGGAAGACCTATGGGAGTGCAAGGCCAGGTGCTGGCGCCTGGAGGCTCAGCGGACTGAAATGGTCAGCCAGTTCCAGGCCAGGATGCAGTCCCACTGGAATGAGGCCCTCCGGCTCTTTGCCACCAGCGGCTCTTCCCTCCAGCCTTTGCCCAAAGCCCCACACCAGGAGGCCGAAGCAGACCCCAAGTTGGGATTTCTGCCCCCCTCCGATCCACACAAACACACAAAAAGACCCCGAAGTGGGAGGCTCTCTGCAGCAACACAAGTGTTCATTGCACGTATCCGTTCCAGGGAGCATAGTTTGAGGACTCCTGATTTAATGCAATGTCAAAAATGCAAATAATTTCCCCACGGACCACCAGTTGGTGACCGCTGGACTAGAGGACCTCCGTGGTCTCCTTCCCATCCTCCCAAAGGATGCTCACCAATCATTTCTTGCTGCATGATCTGCAAAGAGGAGGCAATGGAAGCAGAGCAGCGATCTGACATGTTTCGGCCCAGGCCTTCCTCAATGTGCCGATGTAACTCCTAGGAAAGGGGGGGAAAAAAACCCTGAGGGAATTCTGAGAGTTGAAGTCCATTTCTCTTAAAGTCCTTGGTGCTCTCCGAGTGTCAAGATTTGGGTGGGGGAAGGGGGAGGAAGCTGGGGAGACTCAAAACTACTCAAGAGTGCCCTCCAATAAGAGCCATTGGCTCCTTCAAGAGCAAGGCATGGAGTACATCATCACTCAACCCCTCCCAGACAGAGACGGTTGCCAAAGCAATTTATTTCAATGTAATGGGACGTGGTGGCTCAGGGGCTAAGACGCTGAGTTTGTCAATTAGGAAGGTCGGCGGTTCGGGGGTTTGAATCCCTAGCGCCGAGTAACGGAGGGAGCTCCCGTGACTTGTCCCAGCTTCTGCACTTCGAAAGCACATAAAAAATGCAAGTAGAAAAACAGGAACCACTTTGGTGGGAAGGGAACAGCATTCTGTGTGCCTTCAGGTGTTGAGTCATGCCGGCCACATGACCACGGAGACATTCTTCGGACAACGCTGGCTCTTCGGCTTTGAAACGGAGATGAGCACTGTCCCCTAGATTCGGGAACGACTGGCACATATGTGCGAGGGACACCTTTACCTAATTGGACAGGGGGAGATAACTAGGGGGAAGGAGAAAGGAAAAGGAGCTTTCAAGGGCAAAAACATTGGTTCCAGCTTTGCCTTCCCGTAACCACTTTGGCTTTTAGGAAAAGAATTCAAATGGAGTTAGGAGTCTTTCTTTCCTAGAAGGTCAAGTCTGGGCAGGCCCATCACTCAGTTTGTTTCCTTGCAGGCGTTTCGTCCCCCAAACTGGGGAACCTCATCAGTGCTCGAATGGACCACCAGAAGGAAATCCCTCTCCCTTCTAGCACTGATGAGGTTACCTAGGTTGGCAATGAGATGTTTGCAAGTAAACTGCCAAGCTCCTGGGAGCTCACAGTCCTCCACTCTGCAAATACCCCTCCCTCCTACCACTGATAAGGTTACCTAGTTGGGTCATAAAAGGCCTGCAAGAAAACCGCCAAGCTCAGAGGTCACCTGGGATCTCAGTCTTCTCTTCCTCCTCCTTCTCCTCCACTCCCTTCTAGCACTGATGATGTTACTTAGTTGGTTCATGAAACTCTTGCAAGAAAATGACAAGTTCAGAGAGCACCAAGGACCCTGTAGTTCTCCTCCTCTTCCTCCCTGCACATCCCAAACCTCCTAGCATGATGATGTTACCTAGTTAGGGTCATGAAATGTTTGCAAGGAACACCCCCCCCCAGCTCAAGAGACCACCAAAGATCCCTCATGTTGACCCTGAAATGCAAATATTTCTTTCCTTCCTTCAACTGTTCTTCCAATTCATTTTTTCCTTCTTTCCTTCCTTCCCTTTGGTACTAGCACTGATATTACCCAGTTGGGTCATGAAACATTTGCAACCCTGAGCTGCAAATATTTCCTTCCTTCCTCTATCCTTCCTTCCTTCCTGTCTCCCTCCTTCCTTCCCTTTCTTTTCCTTCCTCCCTCCCTTGGCTTTGATACTAGCGCTGATGAAGTTATCTAGTTGGGTCATGGAACACCTGCAAGAAAACAAGCAAGCTCAGAGAGCACCAAGGACCCCACAGTTCTCCTCCTTTTCTTCTTGCTCCTCCTCCTCCTCCTCTCCATAAACCCACTCCCTTCTAGCACTGATGATGTTCCTTAGTTGGGTCACAAAACGTCTGCAAGAAAACCACCCAGCTCAGAGAGCACCAAAGACCCCATAGTTATCTCCTCCTCCTCCTCTCCATAAACCCCACCCCCTTCTAGCACTGATGACGTTCCTTAGTTGGGTCACAAAACGTCTGCAAGAAAACCACCCAGCTCAGAGAGCACCAAGGACCCCATAGTTATCTCCTCCTCCTCCTCTCCATAAACCCCACCCCCTTCTAGCACTGATGACGTTCCTTAGTTGGGTCACAAAACGTCTGCAAGAAAACCACCCAGCTCAGAGAGCACCAAGGACCCCAAAGTTCTCTCCTCCTCTCCATAAACCCCACTCCCTTCCAGCACTATTGGGTTATGAAACATCTGCAAGAAAACCACCCAGCTCAGAGAGCACCAAGGACCCCAAAGTTCTCTCCTCCTCTCCATAAACCCCACTCCCTTCCAGCACTATTGGGTTATGAAACATCTGCAAGAAAACCACCCAGCTCAGAGAGCACAAAGATCCCTCATATATCAACCCTGA